ACTAAGAATAATGGATTTCTAATGCAAGGACATTTAAATCAGCATTATCAAAACATTCAGCATATAAAATATATTAGCCTTTCATCAAAACATGTGTTTAGAGATCCTAAAGTTTAAACTTAACTTTTTAGACTTTACATAAAAGTTTATACTTTGTAAAACTTGAACTTTTTCCAACTTACGTCTTAGAAACCTCATATATGAACAGCATGTTTGCTTGCAACTAAGCATCTCAGCTGAATCTATTCAAATGTATTCAAAACTTCACAGTAAAGTCTTGTGCTCCCAGCAAACTCAATTCAGGAAAAACTTCATTACCTAAAATAGGCAACACAAAATTATTTCATGAAATCTGTCTCCGTAAAGCAAGCCAAGAACTGCTGCCTCCTTTGGCAGAAGGCCGTTAGCATTTATTTGTTGCATGGTTTTAGGCCCCCTAACTTCTATATGACTTACTGCTTGAGTCGGGGTCTCAGTGGGACCCCCCAAATGGACCATTTATTTATGTTGTCTAGGTCACCTATGAACACATCTACATGTACACGCTGTACAGTACAGAAACCTCACCGCCCTGGAAGTGTCAACCCATCACCTTCATCAACTCAGTCACTGAAACACAACCACTCAGAATAAAAACTCCAAACAGGAAATCAACACAAGGGAGTACTAATTTATTCAAACTTTTCTCTTAAAAAAAAAAAAAAAGAAAACATATAGCATCATTTGAGGGCATTGTTAAAATTCTTGTCTTGGTTGTTACCTTTTCTAGAGATCAAATCACACTGGTCGTTGTTTACGCGCCATGACCAGCTTCCTAAGAAGACAGCCATCAATCACATGTTCAGACATTTTGGATTAGCCACATGACTCCTCTGGGTTAGTCAGAGTTTTCCAGAAAAACAGAACCAATACTTCTGTATACAGAGAGATTTAATTTAAGGAATTGGCTCACACCACAGGGTAGGCTGGCAGGCTAGAGACCCAGGGAAGAGCTGATGTTGCAGCTCAAGTCCAAAGGCAGACTGTAGGTAAAATTCCCTCTCCCTCAGGGGAATCAGTCTTTCTCTCTAAGGCCTTTAACACTGTGGAGGCAAATCTGCTCTACTGATTTTAATGTTAATCTTACCGTGGCTGGTGTGGCTCAGTGGATTAAGCACCAGCCTGCGAACCCAAGGGTCATTGGCTTGATTCCCAGTCAGGGCATATACCGGGTTCGTGAGCCAGGTCCCCAGTAGGGGGCGCCCGAGAGGCAACCACACATTGATGTTTCCTTCCTTCTCTTTCTCCCTCCCTTCCCCTCTCTAAAAATAAAATCTGAAACAAAATGTTAATCTCATCTTTAAAAATACCTAGACCCGTCACAAAAACATCTAGACCAGTGTTTTACCAAACACCTGGGTACCACAGCCTAGCCAAATGGACAGGTAAAATTGACCCTGGGGTGGAACTTGGGCCCTAGTCTGAGGTCTTACACTTGGTGACTCCTAGGGGATTGCAGCCAGCAGAGGCAAGCCTGGGTCCCCACACCGCCTTGGCTATTTTATAAGTGAGAAAACCAAGTCCTAAAGGCTCAGTGAGTTCGTCCCAACAAGTCAGGACAAAAATCCAGCCTCACTAAAAGGAGGCTCTTTCCACTGGGACCTGAATTCAAGACTTCTTATTTCACTTATTTGAAATATTACAGCCAAGTGTGAACCCATTCAAACCACAAACTCTAGGCCAAGGAAACCAACTCTTCTCCTGGGTGCACTTTCACATTCCTAGCCCCCACCCCCCCACACCGCAGAGCCCCCCACCCAGCGGACATGCACAAACCCAGGCACAGACTTCTCTTTGAAAAGTGCTTTATTTAACAAGATCTAAGTTAGGTGCATCAAAACATACCAAAAGGTTACGGAAATGCATGGCTCCCTAGGAAACCTTGTCGAATTATGTTAAGATATCTAAACACGTGCATTTAGAAGTTCGGAACCAAACATTAAACCAGGTCATGTACCACTGCTAAAAGTCAAGTTGTGATTTAAAAAAAGAACACTTCACAAAACGAAAGCAAGTGGGGAAACCCTTAGGAAACACTAGCAACAACAGGCCAGAAGCCATCAGCCTGCAAACCAGGTCTGCGCTCAGCCTGGAAGACTCAAAAGTAGTAGTAGATGGAGGCCTTCGCTTCACAGAGCGCCCGTGCTCTGCGCTGCTAAACCACAGGGGGCGCTGTAACCTCCCGTGACAGGGTCAACACTTTCAGTTACATTCGAAAGAAGAGGTGACACATTTCATTTTATTTCTACCCTGACAGGTGATTATTTTCCTATCTCATCTGATTCAAGCACGACTTTGTGTAAAACTAGTTAAGCAGATTCTCAAAAATTCATGCCGCTGCCTCTGGGGGCTGGAAGACATCTCTTCTGTCTCCTGTCCCACCCCCACATCATGCTTTGGTCACTATGAAACTCTGAAATTCCCTTATTCAGACAGAAATTTCTGTTTTGGAGATGCATGCGTGACACCATGTTCTCTTCTCCATGCCCCAGAGCTCTGAAATAACTTCTCCTTTTTTTAGAGAGAGATCTTTTCTTTTCTTAAAAGAGCTTCTTGCCCTTCTGTGGTCCATTCCACCCTCCTGACACTCTGAAATAACTACCCAACTCCACAGAAAAGAATTTTCGCCAAGACGTCTTTTTTGTCGGAGAACAGTTATTTGTCATTACGTGCTGAAGTCTCGTCTGCACTGATGATGAAATGTCTTTACCTGGAGATTTCTAGGAGAGAGTGCAGGTTGATCCCCGCTACCCCTCCACCACCGTAGGGAGAAGGGTGAAAATACTTCTCGAAGTCTCAGACCAAAATCTCAACCTCAGTCTCAACAATTTTCACATGGATGAGTGGCTTATCTGAGATCCTCACACCTCAGTCTCAAGTCCTAAAGTCTGTCCAGCCTGGGGACCAGTGTGCTCTCCAGCTTACTCAGTACGCCCATCCTTTGTGCTTTCGGTCCCTCCCCCGGATAACCCTGCCCTCCCCCCACACACCCCATTTAACTCATCACCTTCCCACTAATGTGATCACAGAGAACGTGATCTTGTGCTTAATTCCACCACCACCTGGGGGGACGGACACCCTTCCCAGCCAGATGGACTCAGGTGTTTCTTCATTTGATCACCTTGTAACATAAGCCCCTGGCAAAAGAAAGCAGTTGTGGCTATAAAACTGCTTTACGTAAATTAAGGAAAAATCCTATAAATTGGCCTTTGTTCTTCACATGCTTTCAGGTTCATTGCACGCAATTACATAAACCCATACAAATCAGTTGAGAAGTTCAAAGCCGCAGGACTATCTGATACCAATGAGAAAATCCTGCTCCACCCTGTGGAGAAGTGTCTGTTTCAGCTGCTGCTGTTTCAAAAAACTTCATACATCCTGATCAGGTTATTAGGATGTGGGAAATGATCTCTAAGTAGAGTGGCCCAGTTTGGAAATGCGTGGCCTGCATTAAATGGAATGCGTACTGTGTAAAATATGGTTTTCCCTCATTTCCACCCCAACACCCCATCTTTATAGAGCAGAGTTTGCCCAGCACTTTCTTAGAAAGTGACCCAGCAAGCCTGCCATTTTACATTTAACACTATCACGGTGCTAGTGCAAATTAAAGGGAGCTTTTACAAACCAGAAAAGGCTGACCAGTAAAAGTTAGCAGTTAGTATTTTCCTAGTGGAAATTCTTCTCCCTGGCCCTTCAGGGAGAATTATTGGGGTCAAGGCTTTGAGTATCCAACATAAAAATAACTGGAAGAGATGTTTCCCAAGTCATTTTCTCAAATGCAAAACTCAGGAAGTTATGTTTGCACTTACACACTGCTCTTTCCCACCGGTAACAAAGGAAGCCTCCCCTCCACCCTTTTCCCCAAGTCTGTGCATTTTGCAAAGCCCACCGTGGTGTGTGATTGCGACTAAGGCCCTCCGGATTTTCAGTCCACACCCCACTGGGCTGTTGGTGCTGTCCCCACAGAAGAGGGAGGCTTGCTAAGAGACCCCTGGGAAAATGCCAGGTGGCAGCATGCCATCTTTTTGAAAGTCAACAATAAGACCCACACTGTGAGCCGTCTAAAGAGGCCACAAAGGCCAGAGCAGTGGGACGGGAGTAGGAGGGTGCCTGGGGCGGGAACAGGTCTACTGCAAAGATTACCTTCCATTGATTGGGCAGGTACCAATGAATGGTTCTTCTTTCTTCGACTGGCCAGCTCTGAAACCATTCTTGGAGAGGAGGTGGAGGAAAGATGAGGAACGTCCCTTCCCCAATGAGGCCCACAGTCGTCTGCTGTCAAGAGCTCCTGGCTGTGCTTGTTGATCTCCACAGCCAGGTGCCCTGCCCCAAGCACCTGCCTGCCCTTCTTCAAACAGTATCAGCCGCACTGGCATCCAGCTGCCTGGCATCTTCCCGATGGAGGGCAGAGGGGTCAAACTGTCCCTGCCCTTTTCCCCTAACTAGGGTCTGCCCTAAAGATCACCGAGGGGGGCTGCTCAGGGAAGCTGCAAAAGAAGCTCCGTCCTCCCTCTTCACCTTCACGGGGCAACCCAAAGTGCTTCCCTGAACCCACCCCCAAACTCAGTCAAGTCCTTGTTCTTGGAGTCCATCTCCACAGGGCGGGTGACTTGCTAGCATCCAGCCTCGGGAAGAACAAAGCCTTGGCTTCAAACACACAGAAGTGCAGCTTCAAGTACAGAAAGACCCCCTGCTGATGTGAAAGTGGGCTGGGCTCATAGGCACTTGTCATGTCTGCAAGGAGCCTCTACACTTCCCCAAGGAGGCTCACTTTCCAGCCACACCCCAGAGCAAGCCCAGGTCTCGGTCACACTAGCTAGCCAGTGCCAAGTGCAAGCCAGTGAGGTCTGTTTCATGAGATCCTTCCTTCACCTCAAGGAGGCACCAGAGAGCCTGTGTGCTGAAAGAAAGCAGATGCCCCACCAGGCTCCTAGGGGTGGCCACAGAGGTGAGGACAGAGGCAGAATCCATTCTTTATGGGCACCCACAGAGATTACCACATACATCTTTGTTATTCAAAATCAAAGTTTCCAGTGTAAAAACGCGGGCTTATTGCATTTACCCCACTGATGGTTTATCTTTTTCTCTTTCCATGAGACCAGCCCCAAGTGCAAGGGGCTGTGGTCTTGTTTGTTTCCAAGGCTCTCACAGTCACACATCTTTCTGGGCGTACAGGGAGAATCTCTACTAGCACGGGAGCTCACTGAGCTGCCTCCCGCTTCCCAACGTGGGCAGACACGTGTGGCTGCTCCCAGGCATTTGAGGAGAGAAATCTCCTTCAGCCTGAAACCCCTCAGACGGGTGCCTCCCCTGATTTTCTTGCCCGTGAGTAGCCCATCCACTAGCCTCACGGCACTTGTGCTGGTTGCTTGGAATTTAATTGCATGTGAATATCAGGTAGGCACGTGGACATGTATATGTGTGCACACGTGTGCGGATGTGTGTGTGCATGCACAGACACATTTTGGGTCCTCCTAATAACAAAAATCAGAAGTCCTTGTAAATGAAAGAAAGGAAAAGAGCAGGGATCCAAAGATGCGGAGCTTTCTGCTGGCTTCTCCGTCCTGGAGCTGAAGAGGTTTTTCAATGTTTCTGTGGAAGGAAGGCACCCAGCTTCCTGCGGGTCTTCTCATGTCAATGGTGATCCAAATGGTGTCTGGATCCCCTCCTTCTTGTGGCTCAGATTGTTTCTGGGGCCTCGGCTATCTCCTCCAGCCTCTGCCGAATCATTAGCCGTAGCACGGTGTACCTGGGGACAGAAACAGCTGTGGTGGAGAGCAGAGGGCAACACGCACCTCCGCTCAGCCCTGCTTCCCAGCCCAGGTCACAGTGTGGGCAACTGCTCTATCCCGTTGCTTCTGCCACTGGCCCTCTATAGCCACTCGGCCGCTGTGTTCATTCCCACAACAGGATAAGAAGGACTGACGAGGCTAACTCCAAACTGGATTATTTCACTATAATTAGAAAGTCTGGCTAAGAAGGATGAAAAGGCCAAATCAGAAACAATAATAAGGGTCCCATTAGCTGAGTGCTTACTATGCCCAAGGCACTATGAACAGTCCTTCACGTGCATAGTAAAGACAGGGTCCGGCACAAAGAACACCCTGTTTTCATTACAAAATCTTCTATTGCAAAATCATAAGCATGTAATTCTGTAACATAACAATATCACACTCGAGCATGCCATGTGACATTTTTGGTGAAATGTTCGAATTGCTGTCCATTTCCTGTGAGACATTCACGCTCCCTACCAACCACGCTCAAGTAAGCCTTATTCCTGCCGGACCCTGTACAACCCTCACCTAGGCTAGCCCACGTGAAATTACCATTATTTGACCATTATGAGAGTGCTGCAAAAATGACAGCTTCACGTGGTTCAACCTAATGTCAGTGCCTGCGTTTTGCAGTCGATGCCATAGCAGCTCCCAGGCAGGGAGGCCCATGGCTCGTTAGTGATGCAGTATCCCCACCCCTTCCCTGAACTACGGCAATGCCAAGTCCCTGTGCACGGCTAAAGGGGACATTCCTCACGTTCAGGTCTTTGCATTGCACAGCGAAAGCTGTTTTTAAAGTTTGGCCCATTGTAAATGTTCAATAAATGTCAACGGCTATCCTACTAGTTATTATCGTTGATACAGAAACTATAGCATTGGCTTTATTCTGTAGTGGCAAAAATGAATCAACTGTTCTAACTTAGGACCATGGATAGCAAAAATAAAAATCATAAAATCCTCTCCAGAGAGAAGTTTTACTGGACTTGTCAACCCAAATGCTGTTTCCATCAAAGAAATGTAAAAAAGGGAAGAAGGGTGCGAGAAAGGGACTTCAGAGGTGGCTTGCTCAGACCACCTGCGCTGCTGAGGCAGCCTTGCCAAAGCCCCAGAACATCTTTATGTTTCACATCAAAGTGAGAAGCTGACATGAGAAGCAGCGAGGCCAAGACACTGAAGTTTTGTGTCCCCATCTGCAATGTGGATTCACCAATGGGAAGGCCCCTGAAGCAGGTCCCTAAGACCCAGGCCCATGCAGCTGCTCAGCACCATGTAAGGCACCTACCTGAACAGAGAGCCCTCTTAGGGGAGGCCCCAGGGGAAGCCCAACCAACCACCTGGGGGCCCTGCTCACTTGCGCATCAGCTTCTTTACTTCCCGATCTTCCTCCTCTTGGAGCTTTTGAATGAAGCTTTTAAGGACAGGCATCTCGAACTTTATATACTGGGCCACCTGGGGAGGAAGAAGAAGTTGGCATGCGTGCCCCTTCCCGGGATTATTCCAATGCCTTCTGGAGTCTCTCTCACATAAGGCACAAAGCTCCAGGAAATCTATTTCTGCCTTAATCCAGGATTTCCTTAAAGGCAGGAGCCAAGCCTCATTCTTCTCAAGGCTGGCAAGGACTCCACAGTGAAGACCCCTTTATTCACGCGATACACTGTCATTACCTCTCACTTGTCATCTCACATATCCAGTCCCTGCTGAGGTGATGTCTAACACGGAACAGCACCTGGTCCTGATTCCATGATGCAGAGAAAGACCTGAACCCATGATATTTCATATACCTCTCTGCTCTCCCCTGAGAGAATTTAAGGCACCATGACTCAGAATGATGGCCGTGTCTCAAGCAGGCATCCAAATGTGAACTTGATCCTGCGAGGCCGTGGGGGTGATGTGGCTTCCAGGTGAGCTGAAGTTAATCAACCATTCCTTCCTTCCCCACCAGGATCCCTACCCTACTCTATCCACTCTTCTTCAGGGAAGAAGTACATTTCTGCAACCTCTTCGTTTTGGACTTGGCTTTGGTCAGTGGAATGTTATGGACGACATAGAGCAAGTCTGTGTAGAGGCTTGAAATGAGTTCAAATGGTTTGGCCTGGTCTCTTGCACTCCAGCCATCTGCCATGAGAAGCATACTCCGGTAGTGACTGCCCCCTAAGCCTGGGTCTCTGAATAAGACATGCAATGCAGACCCTCAACCCCTAGCCTACAGCAGAGCTGCTGCTAACAGCCTGCAGAATCCTGAGCAAAAAGTAAACGCCTGCTGTCATCAGTGGCTATGATTTGGGGATGTTTCTCACTGTAACAGAAACTGACTAATACACTCCTTGAAGCTGCTAAGAGAGAGTTTGCAGGAACTTCTCAGCCATCGTATAGTACCCCAGAAAGGCTCGAGACATTTACTTCTCCATGGAAATCACTTTGTGCCTGAACATTCCTCCCACGACTCTCACAGGCCCGCCCTCATCCTAGCCGCTGCATCTGCTCCCCTGGCCCCATGGCCACTACTTCTTCAACAGAATCTTGCATTGAGGAACGGCAATGAAATGGGGCACAGTCCTTGGCCAAAAGTCAAGCTATACCCCAGCTGCAGGTAACTCGACCAAACCCCCACCCCCCTGAGGACAGCCCATTGACTAAAAAAGGACTCACGTCATAGGTGACCTCCTCCACCTGGTCCTTCTCCATAAGGAACACCTTGGAGACCTGCTCACACGGGCCCTGCAGGATTCGGGCAATCAGCGGGTAATCGGTGTTCTTCAGCTTCTGTTTTTCTGGAACCACACACAGCCAGGAGCAGCCCTGAGTTTGGCCTGAGGCCTTTGTCACCATAAGTAGGAGTCAACTCAGGGGCCCAAATGGACCAGGCACCTTAGGAGATGTGGCCATACAAGTCGGGAGACTGATTTGCAAATGAACAATTCAAAAGGTACAGCTTAAAGCAAATGTTCCATCTCCTCCCTCCCCAACAGTACTTCCGTGCCTCAAACACTTTGGAAGATGCTGCAATGGAAGCATTAGTTTTATCTGTCTCTCGGGAAAATCAGTTTCTTTCAGTTAGTTTCAGGGTGTGTTTACTGACCACACATGACATTCCATCAGTCTGAGAGGCAAATGGCATTTGAAAGTTTCCAAACAAGAAGCAAATGAGGCAGAGGGTATTTTGTTTTGTTTTTTAACTTGCTATTTTGAGTTAATTCAAAGTCTTCAAAGCACACTGTGTTCTTCAGACTTACCACCGCTGGTATGGACCACGTACAAAGCAAACTCCTCCGCCGAATTCTCAATCTGAATCAGAAGCAAAAGATGCTCGCTAAAAGCAGGTATTACATGTGTGAACTTTGAGCCATTCCTGCCTTATCTCACTGCAAAGCTAAGTAGATTTTAGGCTTTTTTCTGGGGAGGGCTATTTACCTGAAGCTCTCAGAAGTGATACGGAACAGGGACAGCTGGTAATGTTATCAATAATAACAGATAAGGGCTCACATTTATTGGACTGGGTGAGCCGTTTCTACACACCTTAATTTTAATTTGCTGAATACAAAAACCCCATAATGGGGTCCTGTTATCCTCATTTTACAGATGAGGGAGCAGAAGCACAGAGAACTTTTTTTTATTTTATTTTTTTAATTTTAATTTTTATTTTTTTAGAAGCACAGAGAACTTAAGTAACTTGCCCAACTCATCCAACCAGCGGGTAGGTGATGAATGGGGACTTGAATCCAGAGCCTGTGCCCCTAGACCCCTCAGGAACACTGGCTTCCATTAAAATAGGAATACCTGGTCTCCCAAAGACTTATAGGAAAGGGACTGTGGAAAACACACAACAGTAACAGGACTTTTAAAATGCTCATGCACCGTAACTTGCGCATCTATTGAAGGTCCATTTTCAAAGGAGGTTCCCCAACTGTATTCCAGAAGTTAATCTGTGCACAGGACCCCAGACTGGTTGTCAGGCCCACGACCCTTCCAGTGGCCCATAAAGCCCCGAGGGCTGGTGCTGCTCAGGCTCCTGCGGCACCAGAATTCCCTACAAGCTTGGCAGAGCCGGTTCCCTGACCTCACCTCTGATCTCCGGGTTCAGCCAGTCTGACTCAGGGGTGGGGCCCGAGAAGCTGCCTCTCTAACATGCTACCATGTGATGTTGATGCCCGGGTCTGAAAAACCCAAACTTCTGCATGGTGTCCCCCTTACCACATGCTCTCCACAGCCCCCACCTCTATACCTCTGGGGCCCCCAGGGCACACCTGCTGCCCGTTGCAGCCAACCAGCAGAGGGAACTTGCCTTAAACTTGTTGAGCAGCAGCTTGAGGACCTGCGGGGTGGTCATGGTGCTGTTGATGCGGACGTTGGTGATGGAGCCGTAGGCCGGGGTAAACACCGACGTCTGCCAACAGAGGGGCCCAGCTCAGGGTGGGAGTGGGGACAAGGACGGGGTCTAACACCCAGGAACCCCACCCCGTTACCTGGGGTAAAGGGCACAGGGATGATCACACTCAAGCTGTGCTCCCTAACAGCTTCCAAATAGCCTGGCAAGCACTGGGCTTTGATGTCAACCAAGAGCCCTCAGCTTTGCCTAAGTCAGGAGCTCAACAGGTCTAAGATCTCCAATGGCAGGGCTGGGGAGGGGGAATAAGACTAAATAAGAAAGGCCCTCCCTCCCAATAAAAGACACACAAAGTCCCTTCCACTGCAACTTCAACATGAGGAGGTCGCTGACCACTTTCCCACGATACACCTGCTTCTGAGGCCAGATTTGAACCAGGCAGCAGGAGAGAAGGAGAGTCAGCTAACTGTGGTGGGGCAGGTGGGCTCCTGATGCCCCCTCTTCTGAGTCTCACAGCTTTGCTTGGGGGGCTGCCCTTAGCTCACGGAAAAGTCGGACCACACAGCAGCTGGGAGGTACCCGGAGCAGGAAGAGAGTAACACAGGGATTGGCTGGTATCTGACAGAGGGCGTCTGTGGGTCCTCTCGCCCACCACCTGGGGCGTCTTCTGACCTGGGATCCCTCATTCCTCACAGAGCCAGCAGCCCACCCACAACTCAAAGACTGAACAGCAAACACTTGGCTTCCCAGGTGTCCGTAGCCCTAAAGTGGCAGCTGCTTAGGAAGGGGCTTTGCCCTCCTTCAGGCTGCTCCCCAGCCCCCTGCCCCACACCACCCTATCCCCCCTACCTTGTGGTTGTAGAAATGGCCATTGATGGAGAAGCGGTGGCGTCTGATTCGCCGCTGGTCACTGGGTGTCCTCACGTTGCCCCGGCGACGCACCCCAACATCACTGCGTGTACGCATCAGCTGCGGGGTATCTTCCTGCAGGGGCTTCAGGCCTCTGGAGTCTGGGAGGGGAGGGGGAAGGGAGCTCCGTCTGCCTGGGCCCAGCATGTGGCAGTTTGCACATGGTACCCTCTTGGTGGCCAACACTACAGCACCCACCACCTCCCCAAAACATATTTCATAAAATCAGTATTTCCTGCTGGGGGAAAAACACAATACAAACTTCACTGAGAAGCAATACAGGGACGAGGTTCAGAGCACAGACTCACATTCCAACTCACCATTCCTATATAACATTAACCTCTGTTGCCTCAGTTTCCTAATCTATAAAATGGGGATAATAATAGACCTCACGTCCTGGCATTGTTGTGAGGGTTTAAATGGGCTAATTCGTGGAGAGCACTTAGAACAGTGCCAGGCACAGGATAAGCAGGACACAAGGGCTTGCAAGATATCGCAAACTGACTGTCAAAATTGCAAACATACACAGCCTCCGGCTCAGCAATGCCGCCTGGAAGAACCCTGCAGATACTGGCAAATGAGTGAAATGACACATCAGCAAGGCCACTGACTGCAACCTTGTTTGTCATAGCAAAGGACCGGTAATGACTTAAACACGTATCAGTAGGGAGCGATTACAGAAGCGGTCATTTTTCCACACAATGGAACACTGCAGAGCTATGAAGAACGCAGATGTTCCTTATGGATTTGTATGGCACCGTCCCTAAGATAAAGTGATAAACAGAAACAGAGGTGTGCAAACACTACCACTTATGTGAAAGGGGGAAGGAAAGAAATCCATCCAACGACACAGCTTTGTGGGTGCGTACTTGCTTCTATTTGTGAAGCGTATCTCGGGAGGTGTGCCTTTAGGTGGCCTCTATGGAGTGAACTGTGATGCTGAGGAGCGTACTTGGCCATGTGTAGTGCGCACCCAAGTTTTTAGCCCAAACTTTCAGGAAAAAGATCTTTTGTTTCTATTTTTTATTTATTTATATGCAGATACTTGTTTTTTTGTATTGTAAAGGAATTTTAGCATTGGCTTTTGAACATATTACGGTACAAGAAATTTTATGTAACAAATCATTATAAAACAAAGGAAAAGACACAAAGTATTTCAGGTGCTACCTATCTATGATGTGCATCCTTATTTTGCCCTCAAAAATCTGGGCAACAAAGTGCACATTATACGCAGCAAAATATAGGAGATGAAATGAAAACCTTTAAATTCTTTTTAATATTTTTGAATCCTGAATCATGTGGATTTTATTTACTCAGAAACTACATAGCCGTTTACAACATCTATTGCATTAGTCTTCATACAGCAGTTGGCCCCAAGCTGGCGGTCCTTCCACCACGCATGTACCTGTGGGGCTGGATGTCTGGTCACTCTCGGCTGCAGCGTCCACCTCTGTGATCTGAATGTCGGGCATGGTGAGGGGCTTCAGGATGGTGCTGGGGGCAGAGAACGGACAAGAGAGTCTGGTTCGGCCCCTGTGGGGAGACACGCCCACTCCCACCCCACCCCACTTCTGCACAGGGAGCACTCTGCTAGCGCCAGGCTGGGGATGAAGGATTTGGATGGGCTGGCTGACTGCCCCAGGAGGCTGGGCCAGCTCCAGGCTGAGGACTGGGTGAGGAGGGGGAAGTCTGGAGAGAGAAGACACTCAGTCCCAGCAGCTGCAGCCGCAGAAGCACCCAATTCATCAGGGCCAGGCTGGAGAATCACAAAGAACAAAACTCATGTGTTGCCTGCGCTGAATTTCTAAGCACATGTGGCTTCTGTAGCTTATTTGGAAATCCCCTATAATGGCCATTTATTTCTCAGGACAAGGTTCCAGTTCTGATCCACTTCTGTTGGAGAAATAACTCAGAAATTGCTTTGGCATCAAAGAGGAATGGAAAGTAACAGGTCAGATGCCACAAGGGTCAGGGCAGCTTTGGAAGGGGCGCTGGTGGTGGTGTTCTCAGGGTTGCAGGGACTGAGCTCTTGAACCACGCTGGAGAAAGGGCCTCAGGCAGGCCGTCTGAGCCGAGACCTGCCGTTGCCACGATGACTGGTAAATAACTCCTCAAAGCCAAAAAGGACAACGGGAGCAGCTCAATAAACACACCAGAAATCAACAGAGGATTTGGCCAGAAAGGAAAACCATGCATAACAATGAGGACCATCCCGTGGTGAGAAGAACGTAGGCTCACTGGGACCCAGAAGATAGACAGAACCATGTTCAGGGGATGATAGTTTTAAGGGAAGAATTAAAACGGAAAAATCTAATGGAACTTCCTGTTGTAGTATAACCTGTGGCTTCTGACCCCAGAATGGAACCAGTCAGAGCCTCTCGGGAATGGTGGACACTCAGCACCCACTCCTCCTTTGTCCAAAGCTCTTTCTCGCTGAAGCAGAAACTGGTCTCAGCATCCTTCTTAACACAGTGGTCCAGGCATTCACTGCATTATCACAGGCATCTGGGATGACATGATTTACATTCTGAAAACTCACAGTATGTGCAGGTTTCAAGAACCAACCAACCACCAGGTTGATGCCACAGGGACGGGAAAAGACACAAGTGTGTAGAGGACCCTTTAGCAGGCCCAGCCACAGGCCACGTGGTCTAGTGAAATTCCAGAAATCCTCTCACTTAGGGAATGGAATGTAACCTAGTCTGGGAGTCGGGTGGGGCTGCGGAAAGTTTGGCCCATTGGAAATCGAGTACAGTAAAAGAGCTGAATGCAAAGCAGAGTGTGAAAACAGCAAAAAGAGATGAAACCGAAGAGCCGCGGGTGGGCATTCCAGCATCTGGTGGGATGGACAAAAAACTTTTCTCCTTAAATGCTCTTAGAAAACAACCAGATCAGCTCCAGGGCTTGGCCACAATGTAGGTCCCTCTCAGCTTCGAGAAAGATAGCTTCGGCTGTGGAGTTGGACAAAACGTTCGGTGTGGCAAACAGAGAAGGCTTGGTTCTCATTTAAAACAGAGAAACCATCATCACTGTGGTTTTGGCTGAGACTGGCCTGCTCAACCCGTGCTCTGGTCAGAAGGCAGCATCAGCAAGTTTCAAGATGAAACAGGCGAGTCACTTGACCCTAAAAACTGAACTCCCAGAAAGACAGTCAGGAGGGTGTGCCTTACTAGAGGCACTTAGCTACTCATTTGGTGGTGGAGGGAGGAGGGGAGTAGGCTCAGTCTTTGCAGATCTTCCAGTGGGGACTCAGAAGAGAGGGCCTCCCAGACTACTGACCATTACACACCATCACACACCCAGCTTGGCTGGCTCGAACGGGGTCTGATACTCCCTTCCGGGTTTTCCCAAGACATGGAAAGCTCTAGTCTGAAGGTTTGAGCCCTAAATGTCTCCAGTGCAGGGTCTTTCTATGGCATGGTCCAAGGCAGGGAAGATGCTGCAGTATCAGGTGTCCTGTCAGAAATGTACAGGCTGAGCCTGGCTGGCCGCTACCAATGCCTGTCAGAGCCTTGGGAATTCTCCACCAGGCAGGACACTGCTCAGCAGGCTTTGATGCTTCTCTCTGACTCAGTGTCTCCCCTCTGTATCTGACTGTCACTCAGTAACTGGTGACAGGGGTGGGAGCCTCATCACACCAATGCCTGCCCCTTTCTCCTCTTCCCAGAGCAGAACAGGTAGGACAGGAGCTGGGGTCAAGGCTGGCTGGAAGAAGGTGGCATCTACCTGCTCAAGAACACACAAACCCCCAGACGCCCCTAGTCCTTACTCACCCCTGAGCCCCCAAGTTACAGCCAGAGTGCCAGGAGGAGGAGGAAGGAGGGGGGCGAATGCGCTCATTGTCATCCTGCATCTGCAGACGGATGGGCCGGCGCAGCCCCCAGGAGATGTTCAGCAGCCCCTCCACGATGAACTCATCTTCTTCCTGCCCACAAAGCAATTGGTGCGGTGAGTCCAGAAGAAAAGCCCAGGAGAAGCCAGCACCAGGCTGGGGGCCACGGACAGCATCCTGAACAGAAGTCCTGGATGAGCTAGATTCACACCCAGCTCCAATGCACCCTCCACCGTAAACTACCCTGAGGCCATGAAGGGGACCTCGCACGTCAGCACACAAGTTGCCTGGAAACTCAAGTACACATGTGCAAATTATAAAAATGGGGTGTTTTTACACTACTGACTTCAAAGAAAGACGAATACATCTCTTAAAGTAGTGCGAGACTAGCCTTCCTATCAGAATTAACTATTTTCCCCTCCTCTTCTATGGAAAATGATGTCTTTAGCTACAACATATGTTTAGCAATTGACCTGCTGGGTGAAGGAGTTTTAAAGTAATAGTTCCCCAAGTTTACTCTAGGGAATATATAGCAGAATATTCTAGCAGAATAGAGAATACAGAATCCTCTACCAATCAGTTGTCACCTTAAAAGGGATGTTGAGTCAACATGAGTTGGGAGATGTTGTGTTGCTCAGATTTCTTAACAGCAGAACTCCCCAGAGCCCATAGTGAGCTAATGTGCTACAATGCAACTCTCCAAGAGGTGAATAAATCTTGCAAGAATTCCAATTTATACTCAAAGGTGATTCCCCAGTAAGAAGGTAAATGTGAAACCCTTCTAAGGGCATTTGTGTAATTCAGAGAAATGGATCTCATTTATGACCATAAAACTCTTTAATCACCAAGCATTTTGAGAATTCCTCCCATAGGACACACCTCAAAAAAGCTAATTAAGGACAAAGATCTTGTTAATGGCCCAGCCACTAATCAGTAGAAGCTTTGAGGTCAGCGCCTGAAACAGTCAGGCTTTCTTTCCCAAGCCTCAGAAAAACCTTTTTGGGCAGGGCCCACAGACATCAGACCTAAGCCTCGGACACATCTTCAGGACAAGCCCCGTGGATGAAAATGATACCTGACCAGCGGGCAACTAATCTGAGACCCAGATCATTCTTAGAGAGGGAGGGGGAATACAAGAATGCAGGAGAGGAGCTGAGCAACTTGAGGACATTTGTGTATCTCAGGGAGAAAGAGTTTATTTAAGTACCAACTGCATCTATGGCCTTCTAGGTGGTCAAGGCTGGCATCATTACTTTATATTACATTCTTACAGCACAGAATTTAACCCAAAGTAGGGCTTTGCCTGAGCTGACTTGTTTGAGGGACACAGAAAGGGTTACTGCATCCACATAGTATCTGCAACAGTCTGCTGTAGTAGCTGAAATTCTACCATCTCATATCTTTTTCTATGGTTTAAATCACCATAGCTTGATAACCTGAAAATGTGTTTAGAAGGGTATTACACAGACCTTCTTATCAGTCAAGAACACTTGAGTATAAATTACTCTGCCAGGCTCCTTACAGGGCTCTCATCCATCTGATAACAGCTTTACAGAAATGGATACAGGATGAGTAAGCTTAGATGTAGGATGGGGGCTGGGGAAAGACAGCTGGAAAACAAATGCCATTCCAAGAAGGCACCCTAAGAAGCCTGCTGCAGTTGTGGAGAAAAGTGAGGGGAACCAGCAGAGCGTAGGTGGTTGTCTCATTGTTGCAACAATAAGACATGGGCCCAAATGTGTAAACAGAGGACTGGGAAGGTTCCTGAATTGCCCAAATGAAGAAGCCTGCTTGAGAGCCATCTGAAAGGCTCATTTCACAAAAGGCTCCCTTTGGAGAGGTCCCCTCAGTGAGCGGATGCTGGTGCAGCCTCATATCCAAGGCACGTCTCTGGACCAGAAAAGCTCACCCTTCCTGGAACAACTTTGAACCTGGGGGTCTCCTTCCAAAGAACACCAGGTTCTCCTGTTAATATCCTAAAGGAGAAGCCACTCACTGTGGCAGGAGGGACAGGGACCCAGGACCCAGGGCCCCTCAGACCCTGGACACATGGAGGCAAAGACTGGGCTGGCCCCCCAGGGAGGGAACCTCCCCTGCGGACCCCTCACCTCGCGGTGTCGGAGCTGCAAATTCTGGCCTTCATAGTACAAGTTGTAGGTCTTCAGATGCAGGAGGAGTTCATTCCTGAGGGGAAAGAAATATGAGAGGTGTTAACAGTCTTAGCCGAAGCCACTTGTAATGCAGTTGTTCCCTCTTTCCTCACCTCTAACCTGGCTCTCAGTCACCCCAGTCTGGGTGCTTGTCCACAGGGGTGTACATGCACACATACGGGGTCCTACGACCACCCCCATCACCACTTCCCCCAGGATCAAGATCAAGAGTAAAGACTACCTAGAATAGACTGAAGGTGAAAGAAAAGTAACTCTAGAAAACCAAGGAAGGTTTCTCCTTAGTTTTTCCTCCCCTGGAGAAAGAGGGCAGCTCTGGCCATACTCCTCACACCCAGGCTATGTAAGCAGTCCGTACTAAGCCACAGGTTCACGGAGGCAACCACACTTCAGACCCACAGGCAGGGTGTCTCCTGCCTCTCAGCCTTCCCCCCTTCACGCACGCTGGGAGTCAGGAGAGGACAGTCCCTGCAGGCTTTTTTCACAAGACTCAGAAACTTCTAGGCTTTTAAGAAAGTTAAAAGGGACAGGTCTGGTCCCACTGACTTATGCTTCATGGACATGACCTTATCACATGATTAAAAACTTACAAACTCCCATCAATAGTGGAATGGATGAATAAAGGCAGCTACAGTCACACAACAGAAGGTTAAATGGCAATGAGAATATGAATAAACTACGCACAACGTAGATGAACCTCACAGATACTACGTTGAGTAAAAGCTACATGAAAGGGCAGATTTTGTATGATTCCCTTTATATAAAGTTCGAAATGAGTGTCTGAACCAGGACAGTGGTTCACCTTGGGGAGTAGTGACTAGGAGTGGGCATGAGGGGGCTTCTGGGCCCTGGCAATATTCTATCCTACATGCTTTTGTCTTCTTATTCTATTCTAGGTAGCTTACAAGTCCCCTCTAAAGCCTGGTCCCAGGCCTTCTTAGCTGCCTAAGCACTGCTTTCCAGGTGTTTCTTCAGGACACAGCTCTCCTGAGCGTGGGAGAGAGAGGGCTTCGTGCCCTTCATGGTCTGGGCGAGCTCTTGTCAAACCTGAGAATAGTCTGACCAAGTTTAGTTAAAGTGTGTGGCGTGCATGAGGACTTGGCGAAGGGAAGCTAGAAGAGGCTGCTGTGTGCTGCCGCCTGTTTTCAGACAGGGGTGATGGAGTGTGGTCCTCCCAAACCCAGCCATTCCGTGGGGGGGGGGGGGGGGGGTGCTGTGCCAGAGGTCAAAGCCCTGGCTGGAAATTCTAAGAAGCTCCTGACAAGCTCAACCCAGATAAACTGGAATAATTCTACACAAGCTAAAATGAACTAGTAAGAAATGTAGCTCCAAATAACCTAAACCCAAAACTGTTTGGTACTTTTGAACACAGAGATGTGAAAATAGGATGTAAAATGACTGGTCTGTAGAAGTCCCCGGGGAAATCACCCATGAAATAATAGAGACTGACCCCGATCTCCCACCACCATGTGTCTGTAGATGGCCAAGGCGTCTCAAATAATAACACAACTTGGACTCAGGAAAGGTAAACATTCAGTTAAGACACAGAGCAGCCAGCATGCGCACGTCCCTGTGCTGGATATAAAGATATATCCTGACACTTATAATTCGAGGGAGTCTGTTTTGGCTCAGCCCTGTCACATTGCCCAAAAGCTGACTTCAAGAGATTTTAGCGCCTACAAAGCAATGACACTGTCTCCTCCTGCCAGGGGCCACCTGTGCCCGTTTTGGCCGGAACCGCAGCAGCACAGGTTCTCCACTCAGCCGGAACTCCCGGGAGACACCACAGACAGGACAGTGAGCAGCCTCCACTACTCCTCCTCTTGGAAGCCCTCCAGGATGCCATCTCTTTTGAGCTTTCAAAAGTGCCATATTTTGAAGGCCCCCTTTACCTCAGTCTCTATGGTCAGGCTCTGGGGACATATTTTCTAGAGCAGCAACCTGCTGAGGCTCTTACTGTCCACACTTAGCTGCTTGCTTAGCTCTTTCACACACACAAGAGCCCCAGCTCTCTCAGATACAGAGGAGGCATCTCTGCCAGGAGCTTCCATCCACACAGGACTGGCTACTGGGGGCACCACACTACAGAAAAAGTCTTACTTGGAAATGTATTTATCTTTTCCACATGGGACTAGGGAAGTTTGGTGGCTGTAGTCCATTCTTCCTCGCTCTTTTCATCAGAAGGACAGACCTATATTTGAAAGGAGAAGACAGAGTTGGAGTCAGGTTGTGTCCTTCAGAATCAGCAGAACTTGGGCCAGGGACCAGGGGCACGTGACTCTCTGTCCCTTTTCCAGATCCACAGCTTGGGCAGGCCCACGGTGACCCAGGACGAGTGCTGGCTGTTGGCTCTACTTGCCACGGCCTCAGGAAAAAAAGAACACCCAAAGGAAATAGGACAACCCTGAGCCCCAGGACGAGTGCCCCAGCCACAGGGAGTGTTGACCCCCAACTTGGTTCCAAGGACAACCAGCGAGTCTTCCCTGAAGGAACCTTCACAACACAGAAGAGAGATCCATCTGACAGGGGTAGCCCAGACTCTACTGAGGAATAACAAAGGTTGGTAAACCGCCTAAAAATGCCCAGACAATGCTGGGCACAATAAATTGCAGCTACACATCTATAATCACCTTTAAAATATGATTCTGTGAAGGCAATTTAATTACAGGGAAAATAACAATACATCATGAAAACACAGGTTACAAACCTACAAGCCCACTAATGTTTAAAATATATGTAAGCATAAAATATGCATATGTATACATTTATTTAAATAAATATATATTCAGATATTCAATTACATACACACACACATATACAGTCATGCCTCAGTGTTATCAATAGGTTCTGTGACTTTAAGCAAAACATGTATAATGAAACCATTTTACCACAGGCTAACTGATATAAATGAGACTTAAGTTCCTAAGGCATTTCGTTAACATTATAATAGAATGCCGTTGAATGAAATACATTATTTGAGCCTGCTGTATGCATGTCTGTGTACAGTCTCACACATGTCTGTATATATACATATATATGTCAAGATTTCTCAGCTTCAGCACTGTTGACATTTGGACTAGATCATTCTTTGTTATGCTGTGCATTGGGGGGTGTTTGACAGCATCCCCAGCCTCTACCCACCAGATGTCAACAGCTGTACCTCCCCAGCCACGACAATCAAAAGTATCTCCGGACATTACCAAGTGTCCCCTGGGAGCTAAACTGCCCCACTTGAGAACACACGACACGCACGTATGTGCATAAATGTACAGGCTGTACATTTATGTACATAAATGAAAGGCTGGCTGCCTCTGGGTAACAGCAGTGCCCGAAGTTTATCAAATATTTTATTATGATAATTTTCAAACATAAACTGGCATCTGTTGTTATGTTTCCTCTTTTGTTTCTGATTTTATTTATTTGAGTCTTCTCTCTTCTTCATCCAGTTGAAGGTTTGCAAACATAAAGTTGGGGAAAGAAGATAATGAGTAGCCATGGCAGAATACCCTTAACATTTACTATCCTCACTTTATCGCACATCTGTCCATCTACACACGCTTTTATTCATTCAACAACCCATCTTAGAGGAAATCAAAACTATCTTGAAACAAAAAATTGAAACACAACATACCAAAAGTTGTGAGGTCCAGAGAAAGTAGTTCTAAGAGGAAAGTTTATAGCAATAAATACCTACATTAATGAAAAATAAAGGTGTCAAATAAATAACCTAATTTTTACACATCAAGGAACTAGAAAAGGAGGAACAAACTAAGCCCAAAAATTAGCAGAAAAAATAACAAAGAGCACAGCAGACATAAATGAAATAGAAACCAGAAAAGTAATAGAAAAGATAAGTGAAACCAAGAGCTGTTTTTCTGAAAAGATAAACAAAATTAGCAAACCTTTAGCTTGTATACCAACAAACTGGATAACCTGGAAAAATAGATAAATCCCTAAAAACATACAACCTACCAAGACTGAACTGTGAAAAAGCAGAAAGTCTGAACAGACCAATAACAAGGAAAATTGAATCAGTAATCAAAAACCTCCCAACAGCCCTGGCTGGTGTAGCTCAGTGGATTGAGCGCGGGCCTGCGAACCAGAGTATCGAGGTTCGATTCCCAGTCAGAGCACATGCCTGGGTTGCAGGCCAGGTCCCCACTGGGGGACACATGAGAGGCAACCACACATTGATATTTCTTTCCCACTCTTTCTCCTTCTCTTCCCCTCTCTCTAAAAATAAATAAATATTTTTTTAAAAAAGAAAAAAAAGAAAGTGAGGAAGAAATTTAGACATTAAAAAAAAAAAAAAAAACCCTCCCAACAAAGAAAAGCCCAGGCCCAGGCGGTTTCACTGGTGAATACTACCAAACACTTAAAGAAGAATTGAGGCCAATCATTCTGAAACTCTTCCAAAAAGTAAAGAGAAGGGAACACTCCTCAACTTGTTTTACAATACCAGCATTACCCTGATACCAAAGCCAGATAAGGGCAGTCACTACAAGAAAACAGAAAAAGATAGGCCAATATGCTTGATGAATATAAGTGCGAAAATTCTCAGCAAAATACTAGCAAACTGAATGCAACAGTGCATTAAATGGATTGTACAACATGATCAGTGGGATTTATCCCAGGAATGTAAGGATGGTTTAACATATGTAAATCAATAAATGTGATATATCACATTTATCAAATGAAAAATAAAAATCAGATGATGCAAAAAAGGACTCTGATAAAATTCAACATCTTTTCACGATAAAAGTTCCAACATATTCAGTACAGAAAGAATGTACTTCAACATAATAAAAGTCAGATATGATAAGCCCAGAGCTAACATGAAACTCAATGATGAAAACTCAAAGCTATTCCTCTAAGATCAGGAATCAGATAAGGGTACCCATTCTCACCTTCACCAGAGCAATCAGGCTAGAAAAATAAGTGAAAGACATCCAAATCAGGGAAGAAGAAGTAAAACTGTCTTTGAATGATCTTATACACAAAAAATCTTAAAGACTCCACCAAAAAACTATTATACTTAATCAACAAATTCAGTCAAGTTGCAGCACACCAAATCAACAAATAAAAATCAGTTGCACATTTATACACTAACAACAAACTATCTGAAAAAGAAATAAAGAAAATTCTATTTACAATGGCATCAGAAATAATAAAATACTTAGGAATAAACTTAAGCAAGAAATTAAAATTTCTGTGCATTTAAACTTATATAAATAACATTGATGAAAGAAATCAAAGACAAAAATAAGTGAGAAGATACCACATGTTCAAGGATCAGAAGAATATTGTTAAAAGGTCAATATTACACAAAGGTAACTCTAGATCCAATATAATTTCTATTAAAATTCCAGTGGCATTTTTCACAGAAATAGAAAAAAATCCTAAATCTGTATGGAACCACAAAAGGCCTCAAACAGGCAAAGCAATCCTGACAAAAAAGAACAAATCTGGAGACATCAAACTTCCTGATTTCAAACTACGCTAAAAAGCTCTAGTAAGCAAAACAGTATGATGCCGGCAGATAGACCAATGGAACAGAATTAAGAGTTCAGAAATAAATCCATGCATAGATACTGAGTGGTGAAATGGTAGTCTCTTAATATTGGAAAAGACTAGATACCCATATGCAAAAGAATGAAACTGGGCCCTTATCTTACACCACTTACCAATATTAACTTGAAGTGGATTAGACTCAAATGTAAAACTTGAAATTGTATGCAAAAGAAAACATAGAGAAAAAGCTTCTTGGCATTGATCTTGGCAGCAATTTTGTGGATGTGACACCAAAAACACAAGCGACGAAAGCAGAAGTAAGTGAGACTACATCAAGATAAAAAATGTCTATATAGCAAAAGAAACAATCAGCAAAATGAAAAAGGAACATATAGAATAGGAGAAAACATTTGCACACCATATATGGAGTGATTATTATACAAAATACTTAAGGAACTCATATAACTCAACAGCAAAAAAAACCCAAATATTCCAATTTAAAAATGAACAAAGGACCTGAATAGACATTTCTCCAGAGAGTACATACAAATGGCCAATAGCCATATGAAAAGATGCTCAACATCACTAATCACCAGGAAAAGGCAATTAAAATGACAATGAGATACCATCTCACACCTGTCAGAAAGGCCATCATCAATAAATCAACAAACAACAAGTGCTAGCAAGGAGGTGGAGAAAAGGGAACCCGCATGCACTCTCGGTGGGACTGTCGATTGGTGCAGCCACGACAGAAAACAGTATGGAAGTTGCTCACAAAATTAAAAATAAAGCTGCCATGTAATTCCAGCAATTTCACTTCTGGGGTTATATCCAGGGGGGAAAAAACCCACTAATTTGAAAAGATATATGTAGCCCTATGCTCACTGCAGCATTACTTACCATAGTCAAGATATGGAAGCAATCTAGATGTCCATCAATAGAGGAATGGATAAAGAAGATGTCATTGACATGTATTACAGAATACTACTCATTAATAAAAAGAATGAAATCTTGCCATTTGCAACAACATGGATGGACCTAAAGGGTACTATGCTAGGTGAAATAAATCAGAGAAAGACAAACACCATTTCACTTTTAAGTAGAATTTTTTAAAAAATAAATAAATAAAAAATAACAGAAACAGACCCATAGATATAGAGAACAAGCTGATGGTTGCCACAGGGAAAGAGTATGCAGGAGTGGGGAAAAAAAAGACCCAACACCCAGAAGGCATAAAAAAATATTTGATATCAATCTGTAAAAAATTTAAACTTGTGTTTAAATTTCTGTTAAAAAAAATTACCGTACCCAAAGTCAAAAGGCAAATGACAAGTTGGAGAAAATATTTACAATATATATGACCAATGACTAGTGTCCTTAATATGTACAGGGCTTTAATAAGCCAGCAAGAAAAAGATTCTTCCCTCTGTGAAAATTGGCCAAAGGACAGATAATTCACAGAAAAATGAATACAAATAGCCATTAAACTATGAAATCTTTCTCACCACTGTATTTTTACTTCCAATTGATAAGAAGCCAACAACAAATCATAACATACTAGATAGATCAGAATTTAGCTTTTACTTAAAATCACTCTAAAGAGTCGTAGCCCCACTGGGATGTAGTTGCATCCTGGGGCCTGTCAAGCTTCAGGTAACAGAAGAATGTGCACTGCGAAGC